GAAGACATGAGGGTGGTTTCTACTCCGAAAGCCTCGTCGTTTCCTTGACCGTCACAAAATCCTTTTGAGAGATGAACACTCATGTTGAATTAACTGAACATAGGGTTGGAGAACATCATGAAGGGGGTGGGCACCAAATATTTTGAGCCTTAAATCTTTTTTTTTTTTTCTAAAACCATGAACCGGACCACATTACAACCTTCAAAAGTCCTAATTGAAGCAAGGTTATTTTGAAAGCATACTTCAATGAGATAGTGTTCCTGACTCCCATGAATGTTCTAAATAGTTATGTTGGTATCATATGTTTTTCCTATACAAAAATAAATGGTGTTTTAACTCACAAAATTTGTGCGATATCTTTCAAAATCTTCAAGACTTACATAACTGTTGCATTAGAATTTTCATTCTCATTGTAAAATTTTTCTAACTGTAAAACATTTGTTTGATATCAAGGAAGCTCATATAAGCACCAGTGATGAGTTTATTCTTTTAAGGCCTGAAACTATGTTGAGCAATTGGCGAACTATTTCAAGAACAAAATCATATGCAGGGGCATGTCACCTGAAGACCTTAAGCACGGACATTTTGCTTCTCCTAATTAACGCTTTCCCAACTTGTTTACTCTTTTGGGGCAAAATTTGATGACTTTGTTGTGCCAACTACAGTCAATCCGGGGCAATCACGTCGAGATTTGATGAATCTCTCTAAGAGTTTGAAGACACCAGAGCATGGTGAATGCCAGGTCTTTTGTAAAATCCTCTTGAGACGATTTCTCCCTATCAACCATATAGCTTGGGGCATTTTAGAAGTGAAGTTATTCGCAAGAATCGTCGTGCATCATGCAGCTTATCAGCAGTAAACTTGGGGCATCCAAAATTAATCCCAGGGGAAATCCAGATTTGTCAAGATATGTTTTGCACACATTATCAGAGGGTGGTGTTCCCAGTATCTCCAACTAAGCATGACTTTTTCCAGCTGAAACTTTGTTTGTGTTGTTATCCTTTCAATGGATTGTTCGCAATAGAAGACTGGACTTTGGGTTTTCTACCTGAAAATATCTCCCTCTCCAAAGAGATTTAAGCCTTGTAAAAGGACCTTGCTCCAATGATGGCCTGTGTTCTATCTCCAGTAATGTTCCCATCTTATTGAGATTAGCAGAGTGTCGAGTTATACTATGACGTCTTATCATCTTCAGTCTATCTCCCCTGTCTGTTTTGTCAGCATATACATGACATTCATTTATTCATTCACACTTGCATCATGCATGCACAGTTGTATTTGTTGATGTCTTTGAGTACGTATACCTTGGTTATGTCTATTCAAATAGCGTATTTGATCTTTCCAAATAGAGTGTCAACTTAAGCAGAAAGTACGCCTCTTTTTCTAATTCCCCACTGAGTTAACTCTCGTGGAAGAACCTTGCTTTAGCTTTCCTTTTCCATCTCTGGATAGGATAAATCCCCATTTGAGTTGTTTCCTCATTGGATGGAGTCTTGTTTGACTATTTTCTCTCCAGTTTATTCCTGGATTGAGCTTTGTCTCTTGTGAATGATACCCTGTGAATATCTCTAGGCTGTGAAACCTAGATGAAGAGTGCATTTATTTTGCAATGTAAATACTTTGCCTCCTCAAGAAGGATTTACTCATGGTTCCCCATTGAAGATGAACTTTATTCCCCAGCAGTGTTATCACAACCTTCTACTAGAATATCGACATGACAACAAGCGACTGACTCTTTATTTGAGCAGTTTGATTATTTCTGATTTCTCTACGACAAATGGCGGTCTCTTCATGAGCAGTTTGTCCATCCTCGATGAAATTATTGATTCTCACCTCCAGCAATATCTTCATGATATTTTATGGGTATCTTTGAGAAAACAACAAGCGGCGGTCTCTTCACGAGCAACTTGTGTGTTATTGTTATCTTTGAAAAACAGCAAGCGGCGGTCTCTTCACGAGCAACTTGTGTGTCATTGATACCTTTGAAAAACAGCAAGCGGCAGTCTCTTCATGAGGCAACTTGTGTGTTATGGATACTCTTGACAAACAGCAAGCGGCGGTCTCTTCATGAGCAACTTGTGTGTTATGGATACTCTTGACAAACAGCAAGCGGCGGTCTCTTCATGAGCAACTTGTGTGTTATGGATACTCTTGAAAAACAGCAAGCGGCAGTCTTTTCCCGAGGCAACTTGTACATTATTGACACCTCGAAAAAACGGCAAGTGGTGGTCTCTTCATGAGCAACTTGTACGGAAAATGGCAAGTGGCGGTCTCTTCATGAGCAGCTTGTACGGAAAACGGCAAGTGGCAGCCTCTTTATGAGCAGCTTGTACGTTAGTATTTTTGGAAGACAGCAAGTGGCAGCTTATCTATTTGAGCAACTTGTGTGTTATTGTTCCCTTGAAAACGGCAAGTGGCAGCTTCTTTATGAGCAACTTGTGGGTTATTGGCAACAAGTGGCAGACTCTTCATGAGCAGCTTGTGTGCTTTGATATTCTTTGAAGACAGCAAGTGGCAGCTCTTCATGAGCAGCTTGTGGGTTATAAGCAACAAGTGGCAGACTCTTCATGAGTAGCTTGTGTGTTTTAATATTCTTTGAAGATGGCAAGTGGCAGCTCTTCATGAGCAGCTTGTGGTTTATTGGCAACAAGTGGCAGACTCTTCATGAGTAGCTTGTGTGTTTTAACATTCATTGAAGACAGCAAGTGGCGGTCTCTTCATGAGCAGCTTGTATGTTATTGACACCTTTGAAAGGAAGCAAGTGGCGGCCTCTTTATTTGAGCAGCTTGTGTATCCCTAACAATAATGTCTACTCAGCAAATGACATCCTTTCGGAAAAGTCCCGTGGGGAAGTTTGTTATTTTATCCTTTTCAAGCGATATCTTGGTTAAAGAAGAAATGTGTTACCGTTCTTGGTAAAATTCAGAAATCAGAGATGTTTATCTCCAGCCACAGTGCTGATGTCAATCATTTTGTTTTCCAGCCACAGTGCTGATGTCAATCATTTCCTTTTCCAGTCACAGTGCTGATGCAAATCATTTCTTTTTCCAGTCTTCGTACTGATGTAAATCATTACCTTTTTCCAGTCTTCATACTGATGTAAATCATTACCTTTTCCAGTCTCAACACTGATGTAAATCATTCAAGAGTCTCTCATTTGGAGTCTATGACTTTGTTTCCCCAGCGGAGTTACAACCTCTTCCTCTGTGGGATTACTGTATAGTGTGCTTGGTTTCTCCAGCATAGTCTGTCTCATATGACGTCATTCCCCATAAAATTTGGAGCATTACATTCATATCATATCATGAACATAATCGCGATATCTTAAGGCCAAAAATTGTGTATTCTATATTTAAGTCCCTTCAATCTCGTCGAAATGAAGATCCCAATCTTCATATCTCCAGATAGAAGAAACTTAAATAGGGGCAGCTGTTGTACCCCAATTTTTGACCTAAGATCCCATTTTTATTTTTGCATAAGTCAAGGTCACGAAATACGGTCGGTTTTAACGTCTCACCTTCGAGCTTTGACTATGCGAAGATTGTCAAGTGTTTTGAACATTTTTAGCCTATGTATCACTAATTTCTAATCCCTACAAAGGTGTATGTTCATGTCTTCTTTTGCTTCATGTGCAGAGACAGGTCTGAATCAAGAGCATCGGGTGTCGCGCCTCAATTAAGGTTTTGAGTCTCCCAAGCCAGAAGTACGGTTGATTGTGGATTCTCGAAGACTGATTCATCAAGGCACACCGTTACACCCTTAATTTCGCCCCTAATTGTTTTAGTCGCACTTTCATATCATACTTTGTTATTTGGTCACGATCATTAGTAAATACCTTCATTCATCACATTTTGCATCATTAGTCGTATTTAAGTTGACCAGAAAAAGTCAGTTTAAATCAAAGTTTGCATCGTCTTTCAGTTGTAAAATACCCGGCATTTTGCTTCATGCATTTTTATCTATTTACTCATTTGTTGCATTGCTCCAAGTTGTTTATATGTCAATAATAAAAATATTTTGGTTTTATAGACAAACTGTTAAAAACGATTCAACAATGTGCGAAAATTAGTAGCGAGAAAATATTTCAAGTTTTCACCTTTTTACCGATCATTTTATGAATCTGCGTTTCGCGTAGATTATGACGGTATGCTCGCTTTATTTTTTCGGTACAGTTCGAAGTCTCGTTTTTAACCTTAAACGTCTGTTTAGTCTGATATTTTTATTATTATTTTATTTTTCATTTTTTGACTTCTTGAATATTTTTTCTTTAATCTTTGTGACATGTAGATTATTTTAATGTGTTTATTTTATTTTTTCGGATAAATTTTCGTCCGTTTTTTATCATTTTCGGTCACTTTGGGTCTTTATTTTTTATTCAGAAAAATTCAAAAAAATATATTTTAAATTGCATTAATTTGTACACTTTCAGGTTTTTAAGTCATTTTATTTTAGAGGGATTTTTAATCATTAATTTTTTTTGTTAAACTATTCTTTTTTCTAATTGGTTGCAAGAGGTAGTGCAGGATTGATAAATTAGAAAAGAGAAAGAACAATACCATAAACCAACTCTCCCTCCTATTTTTCAATACACACAATCTTTCCCCCCCACAATCAAAAACTCCCGCCTGTATACATCCAATGCAACATATTTTTTTTATTTTTTCATCCTCTCTCCACACTTGCTATCATCTCTCCAATCTCCAATCAACAAAAAACACAATAATACTCCCTATGTCTCCTTTTAACTCTTCACAGCATATCTCTATTCCTCACTTTTCCTCAAAAAAAAACCAGCATCAGCATAAGCCTCCTTCTCTTCACAAATCAAAAAACATGTAAACATTTCAAACCAAACTTTTCACAAAAATCAATACAACAATATGTGTCAGTCCCTTATCTCTAATAATCCATATCACAATACCTCATAACTATTACAAAGCTGCCATTAAATTGAAAAAGTGAACAACAACACTATCAATCATGCAAAACCAGAGCAACAAATGTGGATTCAAACAAAAAGTAATGGATCTAAGAAAATCAAAATAACCAGTGCATCTTCGCAGAGCACCATTCTAACGAGGTTGCTCACGGAAGGTGCTGATCCCTCACTGGGTCGCTGATGAAACAACTCCAATCACCACTGTCTTCCCGTCGCCGGAGTCACAACCTCCACCCTCTCCGTTTTCCCCTTCACAACAACCTTACACAACCACCCATTTCCAAATGCTCCCACCGTACCATCCCCATTAACAACCGCCTTCCATTTCACCATCATCATCTGATTCCATCTACTATCATTACACTCATTCATATGTTCATCTTTTTACCAGCTAAGCTTCCGCGTACATACCCACACGAACCCACTTCCTCTTCACTGTAACAAATTCATACTCCCTCGATCTCCTCTGTAAACCAACAAACACCATAAACCCACCTCATCCTAAACTCAAATCCGCCATCACCGCTTCTTCGACTCTCTCCGTTCCCAAGAAGACGAAAGGCCGTGGTTTCCGTCAGGATTCTGATTCCGCCGCTAACCGTAACTCGCATCTCACTGGTTCTGGTTTTGATACTCTCACCGCCGAGGGCGGTCCTGGACCTCAGAGATCCATTGAAGGATGGATTATTTTGGTGACCGGTGTGCACGAGGAAGCTTTGATGACAGTGCAACAGTAGAGGAATTTGCAAAGAGGATAAGTATCTGCAAAAAGGAGACTAGCTTATGATGGACGAGGAAATGCAGTTGCAAAAAGTGAAGAGGAACTGGCTTCTGCCGCGGATGCACTTGGAGGATTTGTTCGTGATTTATATGCTGAAAAGTGGGTACCTGCTGTCATTGTGGCGAGAGGGAGAGATGGTACAATTTCATGCTATTTATTTTAGTTTTATTTCCTTAGTTAAATTTATGTAAATTAGGTTAGTTAGTTTCTTAGAAAGAAACATATAGCTTAAACAAATTTTAATAATTTTAGTTTAGAATTATTTTAGTAATTTTAAGTTCATTTAGGATTATTTTAGTAACTTTAGAATTATTTTTTTTTAGTTATTTTAGATTTAACTTAATAACTTTAGAATTTTAATTTAGTCTTAGAATTTTAATCTTTAGTTTAGAATTAATTTAGTTTAGTATTAATTTAGATTTATTTTATAACTTTTTGTTTTAGCTTTAGTTTAGTAACTTTAGGATTTTATTTCATTTAGATTTGACTTAGTAAATTTTAGAGTTTTATTTTAGTTTTTGACTTAGTAAACTTTAGAATTTTATTTGTTTTTGTTTTTGACTTAGTAAACTTTAGAATTTTATTTAGTTTAGATTTAATTTACTAATTTTAAAATATTTAATTTAGCTTAGATTTAATTTAGTAATTTTAGAACTATTTTTTGCAACCTCAGAATTTGTAGTTAGTTTAGAATTTTTTAGTAAGTAATCTTAAATTTTTAATATAGTTTAAATAACTTCTTTAGATAATTAGTTATATTCTCTTTTACTTTATTTATTTAAATATCTTTGTCATTTCAATTTCTCAGTGCCTCTTGATCATTAATTTGTTTTTGTCAGATTTATTTTCTTGTGAACTTCTGAATGTTTATATTTTGATGTTCATTTTATTTTGCTAACTCCAAGGGAAAGAATTAAATTTGTTGACTTCACGTCATCAAACATCTTCTACAATCGTGCGAATAGCCTCATTCATTTTTTGCTTGTTTACTATTTTTCCAAACTTAAGATAATTTTCCCAAAAGACTCCATTTTCAAACTTACACCTTTTAAGTCAAAACTTCGACACTAGGTCGCCGTATCTTCAAAAATCTCGTCCATACCCATCTTTTAGCCAAACGAATCATTTTAATCAAACAAACAATTTTAAACCAAAAAACAGATATTTCAAAAGGTTCCTGTGGAGTACCGCAGATGCATTGGGTGCTAATACCTTCCCATTGTATAACCAACCCCCGAACTCTCGATCTCTTTCAAAAACGCATTGTATTTTCATTACTTTTAAATATTAATTTACATTGCATACTTTAGGGTTTTATTTCGCTCTTTTCCCTTTTCCCTTGGAAATAATAAAGCGCGGTGGCGACTCTTGCTTTTGTGAGTCAAGTTAATTAATAGCTTGATCTCCGATTTTCACCGCTACAGCTGGATCTAGTGCATTGCTTTGACCAACGCCTTTGATGGATCCTCACCCGATGGCCATCAGATCTGGCCTCTTGACACTTGGCTGATGGGATGATGATGGATTATGGTGGTCCTTGGCCCTGTGTGCGCACTGGATCCCTGAAAGAAAAATAATATGCAAGAATTAGGAGACCTGGGATTCGAACCCAAGCCCCAAGGCATTTCCCAACTACTCCACTACCAGCTGCGCTCGAAGCTTTTGTTGTACATAAAATAATAATAATAAGTAATATATAATAATGGGCGTTAGTGGAGAGAGAAAGCGCCAAAATTCAAATAAGAGAATGAGAGGCTGCCACGCTAGTCGTCTTCCTCCTTGCACTGTTGGTAAAAGTCACATACTTTTACCTACGGACATTTGTCCATAGATACAGGTCCTGCAATTCTCAAATTCCAATACAAGCATGATAAATAAAAACTAAGGCCATGGATGGATTCGTCTTGACCTGCTGGGCATGATGGTGCCCCTTTCATGGCCCAATTTCACCTGTACACAAAGATCCCAAATCGAAGCTACAAACCCTAACTATGGAAAACTCTAATACAGTTCATGAAAACGAAATTAAATGTTACAGAAAGCTTGCAAATGCTTCAGGGAGTAAGAATCTATAATTATTTCATGCTATAAGTGTTGGAATGATGCAATTCGAATTCAAGAAAAAGTCAATGTCGTGGCTGACTTACAGTGGGTTTTGGCATCTGAAATTGCTTGTTCTTGATTGGTATAGGTTCCTTATGATCCCAGGAAGCGATTGGGATGGCTAGAGGATCTTAAAAATGCCTGTAATTAATCTCAATCTTCCTCCATCATTTCTTTTGATCTTGATTTGATTCCTTTGAACATCTTTCCAAATATAAGCCAAAATCAATCTTTTTGTGCACACCAAGGCTTTACACGAATTCAATCTTATGCTAGCTGGATATAGGACCTGAAACATGTACAAGATCTTGAGATTTCAATGTTTTAGATTTTTCCATGATTTGTTTTGATTAAAATTGATTTAATTCAAATGAAAATCAAAATAAATAATAAAAATAAGATAATGACAAGTTGCAAGGGCTAGGACTCGTGGACCATGCTACCAACTCAAAACAAGTATAAAATATTGGGACCATATGGCAAAAATTGCAATTTGAGGCATAGTTGACTTTTGACAATTTTGCAAAAAGGGTCAACTTCACCAATGCATAACTTCCTCAATTTTGACTCTTTGAAGGTTTTCTTGGACTTTTTAGAAAGCTTGAGATATACTATAAGAAACATTTTTGCTCTCATCTCAATTTAGTATTCCATGTTCATGTATGAAGCTTTGACAAAAAAAGTATTTTTGTTGACTTTTCAAAATGACCTATAATGTCAAAATTCATAACTTCTTGTGAGTTCATATTTTGAACTTGGGAGATGAATATGAATTGTAGGGAATTGAAGCCTATTCAAAATGAGCTTTGGATGGGTCATTTCTCATAAAGTATGTGAAAGTTATGCTTGGTCAAAGTTGAGTTGACTTTTCCTACCAAACCCTAATTTAGCAACTTTTGGTTCTTGATGAATTATGAGCAACCCTTGATGAATATTGATCAACCCTTGATTAAATTATGAATGGTACTTCAAAATGAGGATGTTTACCAAAAATCTTGAAGTTTGACTGTATGTAGGCCACAATTGACTTTTGCCCTAGCATAGTCGATTTTCAGGCCTTTGAGTAATTGACTGAGCAAACTTCCTCTGCAAGGCTTGAAACTTGACATGGATGATCTTGAGAACATATTAGGACAATGGTGAGCATTTGTGATCCCTTTGGACTCAAGTATCTTGATGCAACATGAAACCCTAATTTGAGGTAGACTGCCTTAGGAGAGAGCTTGTCTGGTCAACCCTTGGACTTCCTTGAGCATCTTGAGGATTTTTCTTGAAATGTTTTTTTGAGAAATATAGGAGGGAAAATTTTAGGGTACAACTGCTTCCCCTGTTCAATCTCCTTGAACCTGAGGATGTAGATTGGCTATCTGCCTTTCGTGATCCGAGGGTTGAAGATGATTGAACACTAGAGTGCCCAGAAATTTGCACTCGCATGAAGTGGTATTTGTCTTGTGATGTCGGGAATGGGCTTACGGATTCAATTTGGAAATTGATGACGGGAAGATGGGCTTAAAGATGCCATCCGAAGAAGTGTCGATCGCTTGAGAGATTCCTTAGCGAGAGCTTGTATACTTGTTGTTGAGGAAGATTCCGCTGGGGAATGTTGTTCTTTGTCTTGGGAGAAATAGAATTTTAGGAGCTTCGTTCTTCCGTTATTCTACTGGGGAATCATCTCTGTTTTGAGAAAGGTTGAATTTTAGGAACTTCGGTCGTCCGTTATTCTACCGGGGAATCGTCTCTTGGTCGAAGAGGTGAAAATGAACTATTATCTGGTTGTGATCCAGGCTTCATAGTGATAAGATCGAATACTATCTGGTCGTAATCCAGGCTTCACAGTGTCTTACTGGGGAGATGAGACTAAACTTGCTATCCGGTCGTAATCAAGGCTTCGCAATTTCTCGATTCTTATCTGGTCGTAATCCAGGCTTCAGAAGGAATTAAGTTGTTATCTGGTCGCATCCGGGCTTCAACTTGAATTTAGGGCATACCAATATCCGGTCGACTCCGGGCTTCTTAGTAATTGTCCATGTAAAATTGCTTTTTTGGTCTAAATCCAAGCTCCGTAATGTCTTGTACCGCTATTTGGTCGTAATCCAGGCTTCACGATGTGTTATACCATTATCCGGTCGAATCTAGGCTTCATGGCGTTCTATATTGCTATTTGGTCGTAATCCAGGCTTCACAATACCTTACTTCTTATTTGGTCGTAATCCAGGCTTCAGAAGAAATCAAGTGGTTATCCGGTCGCATCCGGGCTTTCCATTTGACTGTTGGGCCTACTAATATCTGGTCGAATCTTGGCTTCATAGTAATTGGTCGGGTAAACTGCTATTTGATCGAAATCCAAGCTTCATAGTGTCCCTTACTGTTATCTGGTTGTAATTCAGACTTCAGTGTCTTTTACCGCTATCTGGTCATAATCCAGGCTTCACGATGTCTCATACCATTATCTGGTCGAATCCAGGCTTCATGGTGTTTGGAGAAATCAAGATACTATTCGGTCGAATCCGGGCTTCATAACTTGCATTAAAGATATACCACTATCTGGTCGACTCCAGGCTTCATAGTACTTGGCTGCTATCTGGTCGTAATCCATGCTTCACAACGTCTTCTACCATTATCTGGTCGTAATCCAGGCTTCATGGTCTTGTATTGCTATCTGGTCGTAATCCAGGCTTCACAATAATTTGCTGAGCTATTATCCGGTCGTAATCCGGGCTTCACGGCTTGTGTTTATGATATACCACTATCTGGTCGAATCCAAGCTTCATGGTAACTTGCTGAGCTGTTATCCGATTGTAATCCGGGCTTCACGGCTTGCTGGGGATTAAATATTATCCAGTCGAATCCGGG